CGTCCTCCTGCGCCCCTGAGCGAGGGCAGCGCCCGAAGCCGCCTCGGCTCTGCCCGGGGCCCGCGGGGACGCGCGCCGGCTGGCGGGGAGGCACCGGCAGCGAATCATTAAAATGGCCTCGCTGGGCCTTGCCTCTGCTCCCTTAACGGCAAGGAGCAGCTGGAAGCGGGGACTGAAACCTAATGATTAACCTGGAGTCTAGAGGACAAGGAAGTGGCCGGGAGGCCAGCCGAAGAGAGCCCTGCGCTAGGCAGGCCTGGGAATGGGGGCCACCGAAGCCAGGTGCTTGTCACCAGGGAAACGAACTTGGCCTGGGTCCCCCGTTCTGGGCTCTAGAGAGACCCCCGGGATCCAGGAGCAGCGAACGGAAAGAAACGGGCTCCCCCGGCCCGTGCCAGGCGCCACCCTCCCCTGGAAGGGCGCCGGAGCCGGGGTGCGACGTTCAAGAGGCCGATGGCCCGGCTTGAACCGGGCGGTGTAGGGACTTTAAGCAGTAGGTGCCTACCTGGGAGTAAGGGGCACCCAGCAGGGTAGCAAACCCGTCCCCAAGGTGGGAGCGAGGGAGGCCCGGCCACCCTCCACTGAGAGCCTCTGCGCTGCGGCGGCTGCCCGGCCACCCAGGCGGACACCGCGCGGGAGGCCTCCCGCCCAGGCGTTCCGAGATCTCGCGGAGGCACGGGCCTGGCGACCTGGGGCTCCGGCTCTGCCGGTGGCTCTCCCCACCGGGGTGGGCTACCTTCGAGTCAGGCCAGAACAGAAGACATATATGGGGCTTTATGCTTCCAGCCGCAGACGCCCAAACAAAGGGACCCCATTGTTTCCGTCTGAGTGGATTTGTTTAGACTGGGGAGATGCAGGCACTGGGAGGGGAAAAAGCAAAAAAGAAAGCAGAAATAAACACTTGCCAGAATTCGGATGCCTCTGCTAGAAGCTGTGGTTGTGACTAAACAGAGAAAAGCTAGGACCCCAGAGGGCTGGAGAAGTCACAAGCAGGTGAGAAAATCCAGCGTGTGCACTGTTTGCCCACAGCCACTCCAGGCTTTTCCCAGCTCTGTTCCAACAAGGCCTAATGGCCACCCATCCTTTCTGCTGGAGAGGCAGCCCCCTCTGACGTCCTGCAGAGCAGAGGGACGCTCCCCACACCTCTCGGTTTAGGGGCTGCAGCTTCACACATTTCGGAGTCTGCTGATCCATCTGCCAACCCAGGGCACCTTTCCGGGCCTGGCTGCCTGGCTACAGAGCCCAACAAATCCCTTCTGTTGGACCCTCATCTCCCAGAGCCTAGAATGTTTAGTCACCCTGTGAGGGGGGCTGATGGGTCCAGAGGCAGGGGTCTCCACATTGGCCTCCTAGGGCACTGGGTCCCCTAGCCACCTCTGTGCTTTTGGGCCTTTGTGTAGCCCTAGGTCACTCAGATAATCGGTTAAAGCGGGATCTCTTTGCCAACACAACTCGCCCATCTCTGATTCCTAATCTTGACCTAGAGGTGACCAAATTAAAAACACAGTCAGCTTTAAGCTGGGAGAAGGAATCTGAACACCGCAGTCCTACAGGGCAATAATCAGTGCAGACGACGACAGTGGAACGAGTTCCAAGAAGCCCTCCGCTCTGGTCGCTGGAAAACCTGTTTGGTTTCCTTTAATTGGTTGTCTCTGCTACTTGGATGGCACTTCCCAAATGGTCCCTTCGGAGCCAGTGTTTTAATTAAAGTTCTAATGTATTGTCAAGTTGGGAATTCAGGGCCTTGTCTAACTAAAGCGGGGGGCGTGGGCCTCCCTGTAAAGCAAATTGCCCATCCCAGGGAGCCCGAGATCATCGCCCCGGGGCTGGCCTCTTTCCTTTCCTTTGCTTTCTTTCTTTTATTGTCTGACACTTGTCAGGCTCCTGGGAAATCAAGGGAAGTCTCGTTTTGAGGTCATAAAATTCTCTGTGATGTAACCGTGCGAAATTATGTAAATAAAGCCGGACGGGCCTCCTGGAACACACAAAAAGCCGGATCCGCCTACGCCTCGGCCTTGCGTAATGAGAGTTGTACTGAAAAGGCTTCCAATCTCCCCGGGCTGTGCCCCTTGCCAAGGAAAAAACTTGAAATGTGGGAGGGTCCCCGTGAATACACAAATTCAGGCTGCGATCTGGTCCTTTCCCTCCCTCCTTCCCCCTTCCTCTTTTCCCTCCTGCGCCTCCTTTCCTGTGGTGAGGAGGTCGTGGTGGGACCCTGCACCAGCAGACCTGTCTGGATTGGGGCTAGGGTTGGCAAAGGCGCAGCGAGGAGAGGGCACGCGGTTTGGTGCCTCTTTTCACGGCTCTCACCTTATGGGTCCAGCCTGTCCCTACCGACCCTCGCCCAGGTGGAGAGACTGAGTCCAGGTGACAGACGCTCTCTGATGAGGACACGCAGGGCAGGCCCCATACCAGCCAGAAACTCGGGCTTCATTTGGCGGTCCGCACCCCGTGTTCCGCGGGGCGTGTGAGGCGGGCAGCGGAAGCGGCGGGAGGACGAGGGTGGGCCTCGGGCCTCACGCCCCTCTCGCGTCCCCAGCCCAGGCGCAGTCCAGCCTCCTGGGAAAGTGCCGCCGGCCGCGCACGGCCTTCACCAGCCAGCAGCTGCTCGAGCTGGAGCACCAGTTCAAGCTCAACAAATACCTGTCGCGGCCCAAGCGCTTCGAGGTGGCCACCTCGCTCATGCTCACCGAGACCCAGGTGCGCTGCCACCCCACCGCCCCGGCACACCCCGGCTTCCCGGGGACACTGTCACCTCTGCACGCTCGGCCCTCGGGCTGTCCTGGACGTCTGGAGCTGCGCCCCTTGACCCCTAGGGTGCAGATCAGTACTTTCGCCAGGCAATTGTACTGGCGCCTGGCGGTTCTGATCTGGTAGGTCCTGGGTGGGGCCCAAGCATCCGCATTGAGCGACCGCCCCCATTCTGAAGACGGTGCTCCCCGGGCCACATTCGGGAAGGTTTGTCCCAGACAGAGGCGAGGGAACATCCTAGGATTTACGGGGACACGCCCAGCCGCCCTGGCCCTTCCTCGGCAGAGAGGCCGCGGGTAGAAGCGTCACTGGGAATCGGGGGGCGCAGTCCGGGCTTCCCTGGGGCCCCCAGCCCAGCTCCGTGGTTAGCCTGTGCGCAGGGCTGAGGGGGGAACAGGACTGCGAGGCCCCCATCCAGCGTGCCAGCGCGGGGCGCGGGGCGGGCGATAGCAGAGCCGTTCTCACGCCCGGCCGCTTGTGCCCGCAGGTGAAGATCTGGTTCCAGAACCGGCGGATGAAATGGAAACGCAGCAAAAAGGCCAAGGAGCAGGCGGCGCAGGAGGCCGAGAAGCAGAGGGGCGGCGGCGCCGAGGACAAGGGCGAGGAGCAGCTGCTGGGGCCGCCCGCGGCCGGGGACAAGGGCAGCGGACGCCGCCTGCGGGACTTGAGGGACAGTGACCCCGAGGAGGACGAGGACGACGACCACGAGGACCATTTCCCCTACAGCAACGGCGCCAGCGTCCCCGCCGCCGCCTCCGACTGCTCCTCGGAGGACGACTCTCTGTCCCCGCGGCCCGGCGGGCCCGGCCACCAGCCCCCGCCCCAGTAGGAGCCCCCGCGGCCCGGCTGGCCTGCAACGAGGCCCGGCCGCCGCCTCCCGGGCCACCCGCCCCGGCCGCGGGGACCTGGGGGCCTCACCTTGGGCCACCGCGCCTCGTCCGCTTTTCGAGGGACAGCGAGACGGGGACCCAGGGGGCCCCAAGTTGACTTCCCGTTCTTTGGGTTTGGTCTTGGTGAGCGTTGCGGGAGCGTTTGCGAGCGGGGCCGAGGCGCGCCCAGGGGAGGCTGGGGACGTCCCTCTGCCCGCATCAGGGAGGCAGAAACCGACAGTGTTAAACGACCTCTGAAACTTGAAACCTGCTCTGGAAACGCCATCCTGCCGAGGACGGGGAAAAGAAAAACGTTTTATGCTGATGTATCTTAGGGGGGAAAGCACGTCACGAGCGTTCAGACGGCTGGAAATCTCAGAACTGTACTGTCTTTATTTTTGTATGTTGTATTTATATATATATATATGAAGAAACGTCTACCTATGCATGCTAAATTATTATTTAGCTTCTCCCATCGCTCAGGATGGAACGTAAAATAAATTGGTTTTTTACTGGACGAGAGCGCAGACCTGGGGGGGGAGGGGCGTTGTGAAAGCGGCTTTGCTGTTCTGCTTGTTGCAGTGACGGGGATGGTGTCAGGACCCCTCCAGCCCGGGGCCCCGAGGTGGCCGAGGAATCCGGAGCCGCAGGTGTGAACCGTCGGTGGAGGTGCCGGAGCCAGGTGTCGGCGCGTGCTCTGGTGCCTGGCTCACACCTGTCTGGGACACGTGACTCAGGAGGGTCACTTTGGACTGGGCGTGTTTATTGTTCCTGTTTCCTTGCGGGACTTCTTGTTTGTTGGTGCCCCAGGGGTGGAAACACTGTAGTCTATCTGAACGTTTCAGAAAAGCTTCAAACGACCAGCCTTCAGTGGCATTTGGGGTCGGTGCCCGCAGGTGCTGCTTGCGCACATGTCCCGGAACGCCTTGGGCTGCAGGGCGAGTCCCTAACTCCTGGACCCCAGCTTTCCCTGCCTGGCCAGGGTTTCTGGCATCTGTGCACATGGCGTCCTGCAGGACAGCGGCGGGCGGCAGGAGCGCTGGGCGATCAATCACCGGGCCTCCGGGCCAGGTGCTGCGCACATGCCCGGCTCCAGCCCGAGCCCCTGCCCCATCCCCGACCCAGCGCCTCTCCTGGGCCCAAGGAGGCGGGCCATCAGGGGACACTGCTTGTCCCTCCGTCTCGTGCCTGCCCCCTCCCTGTTTGTCACTTTCTCAGCAGCACCTGGGCTGGGCGAGCAGCCCCTCCTCCCTCCCCCCCTGCCCGCTGGTGAACGAGCTGAGATGGGCCTGGCGTTTCATTTGGGTGATTACCGTGGGGGTGACCTGGCCACTCCTGTACCTCAGGGCCGGGGTGACATTAATATCCTCCCTGGCAGCTCATTATCACCGCGGGCTCCTTCCATAAAATCCAGCCTCAGCCGAGGCCGGGCGTGGCTGCCGGGAGCCTGGGCAGGGGCAGCTGCGGGCGGGCGGAAGGCGCGGGCCTCGGTCGCCTGAGAGTCCAAAGGTGCTTCGGGGGACCCGGGACTGGGTTTGCAGCTGATGGGGAGGAAGAGGGCCCGACCGAAGCGGGTGGGAAGATCAGAGGCGAGGGGGGAAGGCGATGGGGGGCAGACGCCTTTGGGGTCTGTAAAAACCCTGCACTCTGCGTGTATGTCCTTTTAATTCCCAGCACAGGGGTGAGGGGCCGCCTGCAGCGATCCTTTCCCCACCGGCTCCACATCTGGGGGCTATTTCCCCCTGAGCTCAGCCAGCCCAGCCCAGCGCCCCCGCCTGACACGGGGCAGCCGGGGAAGGGGTCCGGGCCTGGAGAGGGGCTGTAACCTCCAGCCGGGAGCTGGGCCTCGGCCTCCCCGGAGGTTCTTTCTTCCCCTCCCCCGCCCCAAGGGATGGACGCTCCCCCTGGGGTGAAGGACGGGGACACTGAAGGCAGACAGTCGTGAGGGCCGCCCCCATCCGCCAGCACAGCAAGGCCGGGGTTTGGCGCGGGGACTCGGCGGCCCCTGCATCTCCAGCCGGCCGCTTAATCGCGGCGGAATTTATCTCGCTAATAAATTTAATGATCAATTCGTTCTTGTCACAGTAGCTCTTCCCCAAATCAATTATAGCAAATTTAAATATAATCACTGGCTCATCCTCACCCACTCCGGGCACAGCGAACCATTCATTCCGCCTAATGAATAGTCGTGACGCCCGCTCCTCCTGCCTGGCAGGTTGGCCTGGGGCAGGGGTCGTCCTCAGGGCCCGGGCCTCGATCCGCACTTGAGCCATAGGCTGACCCCGCTTGGGTAGAACATCTTTGCATCCCCGAGGACAGGGTACTCAGGACCCAGGGCTATGTCTGTGCAGCCAGAGACCAGAGGGAGTTCAAGGCATTGTTTTCAGACAGCTCCAGGCTTCCCCCTCAGGAAGCCCCTACTGTCCTGTCGCTGTGAAGCCCTCAGTCCCCGAGGCCTGTGGGTCTCCCAGCCCTAAACGGAAGCAAGGATGCGCGGTGGAGATCCTGGCAGTCACTGCAACCCAGAGGCTGGGTCCCCATAGTAGGCCCCCACCCAGAGCTGACACCTTCCCTGGCAACCTCTCGGCAGCGTTCTCTTCGCTCTAATGAGAGGTTGTCCTCCGTTTTCAGAAAGGGCACCTCGCTGTGTGCAGTTCTCCGAGGTGTGCAGAAGCGTGTGGACAAAGCCCTTTTCGTGGCAGGAGAGAGTGATCTACAAGAACCCTGCAGACGGCAGCCAGAGTCTCCTTCCAGCCCCTCCGGAGCTGTAGCCTCAGGGGGACAGGCTGGCAAGGTGTCGGGTGTGTGTGTGTGTGTGGGGGCTAATCCCAGGAGTCAGAAAAGCACAGAAACAACTAGAATGTAAAGAGGCTGGGCCTGTTCCTCCCTCTGCTGGCCTTCTCCTACCCAGTTACCAGACCGAGTCGGCTTGGAAAGATCAGCTGAAAAGACTTTATTTCTATGACACCGATGCACAGGCAGAAAAGGCAAGAATAAACAAACGGGAGTATGTCAAACTGAAAAACTGTGCCACAAGGGACACCGTCAACAGAGTAAAAAGGCACCCCAGGGAAGGCAGAAAATATTTGCAAACCATACAGCTGGTAATGGGTTAATATCCAGAATATGTAAAGAACTCCTATGACTCAACTACAAAACCCAAACAATTCAGTTTTAAAATGGGTGAAGTCCCTTTACCAGCCAAGAAAAAAAAAAAAAAAAAAAAGGCAAAGGACTTGAATAGACGTTTCAGTGAAGAAGATACACAAATAGCCAAGAAGCACATGAAACGCTGCTCAGCCTCACTAATCATCAGGGAAAAGCAGATAAAACCACGAGGTACTCTCTCATACCCGCTAGGATGGCCAATGTCGAACAAACAAACAAATTCAGCAAATAGCAAGTGCGGGGGGTGTGGAGAAATCGGAGCCCTTGTGAGCTGCTGGTGGGACTGTGGAATGGTGCAGCCGTTATGGAAAACAGTATGGAGTTTCCTCAATAAACTAAACAGAGAATCAGCATGTGGTCGGGCCGTCCCAGTTCTGTGCATACGGCATACCCCAGAGAACTGAATACAGGATCTGAAGGAGAGATTTGCACACCCGTGTTCATCGCATCATTACTCAACAATAACCAAGAAGTGGATGGAACCTAAATGTCCACCAAGAGATGGAAGATAAGCAGAATGTGGTACACACCGTCATGCGCTGCAGAAGAGCGTTTGGATCAGGGCATATAGGACGGAACGACAGCCCGGGTGTGTGGCAGGGGGTGGGCTGCACCGTCCAGGCTTGTGCAAGTGCACTCTGTGACATCACATGACGGTGAAACCGCCTAACCATGCATTTTTAGGACGTATCCCGGTGAAGCAATGCCTGTCCATAAAGTGGAGAACTATTCAGCCTTAAAAAAGGAGGAAATCCTGACACGTGCTGCAACGTGGCCGAACCCTGAGGACATTATGGTAAGTGAAATAAGCCAGTCACAAAAAGACAACTACTGCACGGTTCCGCTCAGACCCGGTGTCACTGTAGGTAAGATTCAAACTCTGGAATAGTGGCTGCCCGGCCAGGAGGAGAGCGACTGGCGAGTGAGTGTTTGGTGGGGACAGGGTTTCCATTTGGAACGATGAGATAGTTGTAGGTCTGTCGCATGACCACGTGCATAGCGTGAGCAGTGCTGAGGGGACACCCGGGGTGGTTAAGGTGGTTTGTAAACTTTCTTCTGTCCTTTCCCCCCTGCCCCCTGCCTGCCTCCTCCTGCGCCTCTTTCTTCCCTCCTTCCCTACACCCCCTGCACCCCCATTTACAAAGGAAGGCCGGGCTTGCAGGCACAGGAGGGGAGGACCAGGCCCTGCACCCTGCCAGCCTTGGGGGTGAACTGACCCCTGCGGCCCCCCGAGTCCCCCGGGGGTGGGAGGCAGTTTAGGTCCCACCCGGGCCGCGGCGTGGAGGGGGTGGGGGGACCCTGTGGAAGGGGACAGGGGTGGCAGCGCAGGGGGGCAGCGCAGGCCGCAGGCGACTCGAGCGCGGTCCCCCACCCCCAGTGTCAAAGTCCTGCGGCGCCCGCGTCTTCCTCCATAAAGCCGATGCCGCGGGGGTGTGACCTCCGCCGGGAGTGCCGCCGTGTTCCCGACGACCGGGGCAGATGTGTTTTTCAGCTTCGCTTTTATGGTCGGATTAAGGTTTATTCTGCGTCGTAGGGCACCTAATAAACCCACGACGCCGGTCGCGCCTCCGCTGCGCCTCGCTCGGCACTTTCACTTCGTAAATCACTTTACGACGCGCCAGGTGTGTCA